TGTCGGTTGAATCTTAATTATGGGCAAAGACTTGACATGACATGGATAATGAATGTATTCTCAATCATTTTTGCTAAAACTAATTGTTCTTTTTCAAAATATTATTTGCTGTGAAGACAATTTATTCTCATTTTTCAAGGTAACTGGATCTTCTATTTATTTACCTTACTATGTCCCAGGAAAATTAGATTTGAAGCTCTGCAGAGTGAATCAGGTAGGAAGCTGTTGGGGAGATCTGGTAGAGAGCCTGATGATATTTCGAGTGTTGTACTTGTTGAAAAAAATAGGTATATTCTGCACATCATTATTCTAGTGTTAAAATCAAAGTTTTTACGTAATTTGGAAAGTGGTTTAAAAAATGTTACTATCAATTTGTTTTTTCGCTCTGCAATTCAGAAGTAGAACTCCTCCCTTTGGATGTAGGCAAAATTTGAAAGCGTCGTGCTTCTAAATGAATTTTACACTAAAAAAATGTTACCGATTAAGGATTGCATTGACAAGGATCTTTGGGGGCAAAAATTAGAAATGTTCTGTGAATTGATTTTAGAGAGGGCACTAGCAGAACCGGGGGGGGGGGGGGGGTTCACGTGACCTCCCAACTTTTGAGTTTTTTATTAGTTTATTGGGGATAAAGTCTTGATTGAAATATAAATTTTAATCTAAATCAAATTTAATAATTAATTTTAATAACATATTTCATGGAATCCTTAAATTTTATGAAAATTTACTAAAAATCTTATTTTAATCCCCACGAAACTGGGACAAAATCACAATAAATTTGAATTTTTTTTTCTCTTTTCCCTATCTTTATCTTATTCTTTCCCTTACGTCTTTTACCAAAGCTTTAACATTTTTAATTTTTTTAAAATTTGTCTACAATTTCTCTACAGATTATTACATCTACTACAATTTTTCACTTTCTAATCAAATTTTCAATTAATTATAATCTAAATTTGCATTTTCTCCTATCCTATTTGTGTATATAGAATGTATTCAGACCGACTATATCCAATTTAACTTATATTTAACGAATTGTGTTTATTTGATTGATTATTAGTACTGAATATTGGTTATATTTTTTCCTTCCGATTACTTGAATTGATTGTTTGTGTCAAATATTTTATAAATTTTTCAAATGTAAATATGCATTTTCTTGTGATGAGCAAAATATTAATGAATATTTTTTTTTTAAATATAAATTTGTATTTTTTCGAATCAAGTATGAATCATTCAAAAATTAGGAACAAAGTATTCGCTTTGTACGGAGTTTGATTGTGCCCCCAACTCAAAAATGTCTTGGTTCGCTCTTGAGAGAGGGTATTGTTGATTGTGTTTTTTCTTGCTACAGCTACTAAGAGATCTAAAACACACAGATTCTTAGCAACCATAACAAAACTTGGTCTCCATATGGGAAAATTTGCTAAAGACTTTTTAACCAGTAAGATTATTAAAGTAGGGACATGATAAAACTGCAACTAAGGCCACAACACTTTTGATTTTTGACTCTTGACATGATAAATTATAAATTTGAAAAATCCAAATGTTGACTGTCATAAAACAAAGCAAAATGTTCACTCAACAAATTTTTTCCAAGTTCTATACTTCCAATAAATTTGGTGTCATCAACATAATTCCTTTTGTGTCACTTGTACTCTGCAGGGGCACATTATGAATCTATGTTAGATTACTACTGAAATTAACTTGTATATCAATTGACGATACTTAAAACAAAATGAACTTAATCACCTCTTTGCAAATTTAAGGAGTGAGATGAGATTGTTTCGAAACCTATCTTAAATGTATTGCACTAGTTTAATATCATATTCTTCTTAAAATTTGGAAGGTTATCGTGAATATCATTTAGAAGACTTCTTGTATGATGGTTTTTGTTGGAACTTGATTGCAGGTCGTACATTAAGTCAGATGCTGTGTTGAAGATTATGGAATACATAGACTTACCCTTTCCACAGCTAGCTTTCTTTCTACAGTTTATACCACTGTAAGTCATAAACTTGTCTGTTATTCAGTTACGGGTAAGTTGAAATAGGAAACGTGACTTAATTCTTATTGCTATTGTTGCAGATTTGTTAGGGACTTCGTATATGAGAACGTTGCAGATAACCGTTACGATATTTTTGGTCGTTCAGATTCATGTGAAATATAGAATATACTAGCTCTGTACTCCTATATAGAAGTTGTTGGAATTTCATCTTGTAAGTAAATACATTCTATATTTATAGTCAGACATTGATACCTATCAACTTTGTTGGATACATTAAGAACACTTTGGATGTCGTGTAAAACCTTTTAGTTTCAAAAGTCGACTGAAATATGTAAAAGATTGAAAAAGTGGAAAAGAAGAAGAAATGAAGTATCATAAAAGGATTTTTGTATCCCCAATGTCCTCTTTATTGTTTGATCACTTATATTGTGCTCATTTGAATCCCGTAATTTAATGTTCTTTAATCTCCTTCAACAATCCAATTAAGAAAGTACCAACTTAATGTTTAATTGGTTTCATGTCTAACTATTGGCCTAGAGTATTAATTTTATTAGTTACTAAAAAGTTAAATGGCACTATAAGTTATTTTGTTATATTCTCTGTATTCATTTCACGTGGTGTCTATGTTGTGTCGTAATTGACCTTGGTGTTAGGTCTAAATTGTTTGTATGTTCCATGTCTAAAATATCATTTAATCGAGTTGTAATTAGGGTCGAGGTGTCGAGTGTTGGGAGTGTCGTTGGAAGGACTCAACTTGGGCCCAAGAAGATCATGAAATGTCCAAGAAGATCACATATGATCTATGGATGCAGTTAGAAGTCAAAGTATTGTCTAAGTGCTACATAGGATATGCTTCAAATTCTGAGCCACAAGTTGAGGTCAGAAACCTGGGACCTATGGTGAGCGCTCTGTGAATATAGTGGATAGATCTCTGATTCTATTTTTGAATGAAAACTTCGAATTGGAAAATTGTTTCTCTAGAAGAATTGTAGCCTCTTTGAGTTTTCTTTTCAACGGGTATCGAGAGAAAAAGATATGATAAAAATACCGACGGTTGCTTAGAGAGAGCTTGCTAGCCGCCTGTTGAGCGATAGTGCGATCTTTACAGTAGCTGAGCGATTGAAGTCTGCTTGAGGAGTCATGTTATGTGTTGAAATCCTATATCATGATTTTTAGCCTTTTTACAATATCAAACACTATATTATAAATACCGAAGGCATATTTCGTCCAAAATGTGTGTTGAGCCTCTATTCATTCAAGAGAATACTATGCTGAATATCAATTACATAATACATAATTCTCTTAACTTTACCACAAGATCAAAACATCAAAATACTAAAAGATCAAACACAAACAAAATCCTTTATTAAATAACCTTCAGAGTTCTAAAGATCTGGAGAGGTGATTGAAATTTCAGTTTGTGAGGAATGAGTTCGTTATTGGTGATCCACGAGGGGAAAAGAAGTTCAGAGGTTCTGGAGCTAGTGTTGAAGTGCATAATTGAGGAATCCTCAGTGATCACAGGTTGGGGGGTCAAAATCTACTAAGGTTTAGTTGTATCTGGACCAATTCTGTAAATCAAATCTTTTACTAGCAAGCAGTGTCCAGAGGTTTTTTATCTCATGAAGAGTTCTTCGAGGGGTTTTTCTTCGTAAACAAATTTCAGTGTTGATTTGCTTTATTGCTTTGATCTGTATGCTTGACGGACTGCTAGGGTTTAATTTGATTAAACTTCATTTAGATTCAGTAATTTGTGACTTGTTGCAATTATTAATTGTCACCTTTTTAATTCCACCTATTCACCCTCCTCTAGGTTTTAGTTGGGTTGAACCTCGTTATTTCACTTGGCATTTTTCAAGAAACCATCTAAGCCTATGTTTGGCTCATGTTTATAAAGTGTTATAAACACTCGGACAACTTTCTATCTACACATTTTGAGATACCCACGACTACTACCTACTTATCCATTACCCATTTCTATCTATTTATGATTTAAACCGTTTATAAACGCTAATGAGCTCACTGGTTTTGATTATTTGTCAAATGCTAACTATTTAAACTGAAGTTTGACGTGATCTTCCATCTCCATCTATCCTATCAGCCTCCTCCTTGATACGGGATCTCATGTTACTTCAGAGTATTATTTAGTGAGTTTGGTACGTGTAATAGCTTCTGGTTCTTCACCTTCAATATTAAACTTTTTCTGTTCAGCTCTGCTCTAGGTTTTGACTGTCTAGGAATTTAGGAGTTCCTTTTGAACAGTCCATACTTATTTTTTGGAACCAACTTGAAAATATTGGGGCTGACTTATTAGTAGAGTGTGTGTGCCATATATAATCTTAAAACTTGGATAGAGATCAATTCTTGATCTTGTTTCATCTTTAGCTGATGAGAAGGCATTTGATTAATTTTTGTCAGTGTTTAATGAATCTAGGAGCAGCAACCCACGTTGCACATTACTAGCTAAACACTTGTCATCTTGATAAAGATGATTGTGTTGCACGGTGGAGCATTACATTTTTTTTTCCTTCTCTTCTCTTCTCTAATAGATATCAAAACATCTGTGACATTGCATTTAATCAAACAATGTTTTTGTTTTCAGTTGGTTGTTTCTTGTTGTAGATATACATGTGATGCTCAGAAGGAATTATGTATATGGAACACACATATACCTGCTAATTTGCTAATAGAATCAACAGAATTCGAGTAACCCTGAAAAATTACAGTCTGCAGCTAGGTACTGTATTTGAGTTACGCAAAAAAGTTAACTCGTCTGCAGGCAAGTGGTGTAAACTATAGAGCGATTTAGGTTTTAAATGGTACGAAATATTCACTTCCCCATACAATTTACTTATGGTTCTGTTATTTGAGCTGTTATTTGGGCATTGAGGCAGTAAGCAGGTGGTGAATTATTTTAGGCAACTGATTCTATGTTGACATCATCCTTAATGATGTTAGTGCAAGGAATGGTACTGCTGCAACTGCAGTTGATTGTAGCATTCTTGCAGAGGGATGTTCCTCGGATGCTGCTGTATGTCACGTCGCTAACTTTGACGGCTGATTTCTGTTAAGGGACAGAGAAAATCAGGTCAAACAATATGTGAATATGCACTCTTATATTACTCTTTACAAAGTGCTTATTTGGATTTAGATACCCATTCATTATTTATTTTCATAGAGTTCTCAGATACACACCGGACCCATAAGAAAAGAAAAATCACAGGAAAATTTTGGAAGTAGAAGTTGCTTACTGTGGTCTGGCATACTTTGTGAGGACAGTAAAACTGGTCAATTATAATTGGGTTATCAGTTGCTATTACTGTTGTCTGTGAAGCTTATGTTCCTGGCAAATCCAGAGCCTCCCTACATAAGAACAAAAATACAGGATGAAACTTGTCCTTGGAAAAATATTTATGTATTTTAACTACATTTTATGATTTTCCTCAGCTCGTCTCAGTTCCTACCTGCCATGTTTTGATTCTCATTCCATTGTCAGTTCCATTTAAAATGCTATTGCTTACATGTATTCCTTGTACTTCATCAGTCTGTACATCTTTTCCTAAACTGCCAATACTGCAAAGGGAGAGTACAGACTAAAAGACAGGTTGAAATAATCTCGAGTTTTAGGCTTGATGAAATGCACCGAATATACATCACCAACTGATAATGTCAAACGGTAGGATACAAACCTTATTCCATGCCCCGGACCGCATGTAACTTGGGTTATGATGACGTCTGAAGTACCCCTGTTCATGGCGATACAATCATCTCCTTTTACGATAAGAGAACGATAATTATGTATAAGTGATATAAACAAGAATAGATGTGATTGTTTACAAGTACAATCATGTTTGGTGTTCAAAATATTTTGCCCACTTCCTTGACAGAATGCGAAATGGCTTTTTATCATTGTACTATTTAAAAAATAATCAGTTTTTGTACCCAATCAATTACTGTCAACACTGCATTTGTCAAGTAGGTGGGCAAAAAGCTCTGCACAAATAGAATTATCGTTACAAGTATTTAGTACCAGTTGCCATTGTACAGTCATGAATATGAATGTTGGTTGAATGGCTTATATCAATTCCATCAGTGTTGGGACTTTCTTGAGGGGCAATCATATGAAGTTTTGTAATGTTTACTTCATCGCATCCATTTACTGAAACATGATTCTTTTGGCTGTTTATATATTGCAATCCACTCACATAAAGATTGTTACAACTGGAAAATCTCATTGCCTGAAACAAATAAATAAATAAACATCTTTCTATTATTCTATTAATTTCCGAAATAAAGATTTTCGTGAGTTCAGATCAATTTTATATTCTACTTACAGCAGGGCCATTGTTTTCTCCCTCAAACAAAGAAAATCGAGGGTAAAAAAGCATCACGAGGGAAAAATAAAAAAAATATAGAAACGAGAGAACAGAAGTATTAAATAAACTAACAGATTTTAGCCACCAAGAAGAACCTTGACCGTCGATAAGTCCTTGTTCATTACCAACAACATTTAGCCCGTCGACTTTCTGAAAATATAGCCATTCATATTTTCTTTTGATTGTCCATGCTGATTTTGATTCTGAAAATATAGCCATTCATCTTTTCTTTTGATTGTCCATGCTGATTTTGAAGGTGCAACAATAGTTCACAATATCTGCCATTAATATTTTTAGACTATCATTTGAAAATAGAAAAAGAAATATATTCGAGAGCAAAAGCTTTGTATCTCATATATAAGTACGCAATCAAGCTAGGGTGTCAGAAATATTTTTGACATCCTAGTTGACATATACTCATAATATGGGTGGGTGGGGGGCCTTTTTTGCATTTTTTATTCATACCAGTCTCATGCAGATCCCACGCACATGTGAGAATAGGTCATCAAAGGTGTCGAAATTTTTCTGACAACTTGGCTTCATGTGTAAGTTCTAGATTTCATATTTGTTTTCATTAAAAGATAAAAAAGAAAAGACCAACCATAAATTTTAAATTGAATTTAATTCATGTTCATGTGAATAACTATGCACGTGATATTTTATAGTTTTAGTCCCTGTTTGATTTTCATTCTTTGAAAAAAAATACATTCTTAAACAATGTTTTGACATTATTTCAATCATACATTTTTCAATAAAATAATATTACAAGTAAATCCAATTTTTATTTTTTTATTTTTAAGTCACGCATTTCTTATCAATACATTATTTAAAAATTCATTCTTATCAAAAGAATGAGGCTCAAACAAGTGCTTATTACAAGAGTATCCTATTGATTTTATTACCTCAAATGTAATTGAGGGTGATTTACCCCACAAACTCGATGTGATTCACCAAATATGTCTTCCCTCGTGGCACGGTAATCTTAGCTCCGTTCTTCTCATAATCTCATGTTGGC